TAACCACCACACATATATACATTTGTATATACATAAATATATCTATATCTCTCTCTATCAATCTATATACATATATGTATATATATATATATATATATATATAAGTATACGTATATATATACATACATATATATCTATCTATATATATAAGTATATATATATATATAAGTATATTAATGTATATATATGTTATATCTATAAATATATATATATTTTATCCACTGCAGGTTTCGAATGCGCTGGTGGATGTACTGCCTCCAGAAGCTGACAGTTCCATTTCAATGGTATGTTGTTTTGTTGTTTTTTCTTTTGCGCTTTCTTTTCACACAACCCGATGGCAGTACGAGTCACAGCTTCAACAGAAACCTACTACTTACAATTTTGTGATCTTTTGTGGACTTTGCTCTTGCAGCTTCTAGTACTTGTCTCAACCTCTTGTATTCAATTATTCTCGCTCGCGATAATTGGCGTTTCCAGATGGGTGGTGATGAGAAGCCCGATGTTACATATAGTGATATTGGTGGTATGGATATGCAGAAACAGGAAATGAGAGAGGCCGTAGAATTGCCACTAACGTGTCACGATCTTTATAAACAGATTGGTATGTTTGCCGTTGGAAGTGAGTTTTGTACTACGGCAGGAGAGTGCTGTCATTATAAGGCTGACTCATCCTATGAATTATCATGATTTATGCCTGCACCGCCCCGCATTTCGAGGCAGTAATTTGATGAAAGTGTTTATATAGTGGATCCGGATATCAGGAACTCACCTTACTGTGGTTGTACGTTTGCAGGAATTGACCCGCCACGAGGTGTACTGATGTATGGCCCCCCTGGAACGGGAAAGACGATGCTTGCAAAAGCGGTAGCTAATCACACCACAGCTTCTTTCATTCGTGTTGTGGGCTCGGAGTTCGTACAGAAGTACTTGGGAGAAGGTCCTCGTATGGTCAGGTATTTCGAATTCGCTTTGGGTTTATAGCCTGCTGAGAGTTTTTTGTTTCTTAGAATTAGAATATCAGTCTTAATGGTTGCTTACAGTAACTTGTTTCTTCGGCGAGTTGTTCAGTCACTGTGAATCTCGATGTCAAATTTGCGTTCTTGTTCAAAATTAACTAATTACCCTAAATTGCAATTTAAACGCAGAGATGTATTCCGGCTCGCGAAGGAAAACTCGCCCGCTATTATTTTTATCGATGAGATCGATGCTATTGCCACAAAACGTTTCGACGCACAAACTGGAGCAGATCGAGAGGTACAGCGTATCCTGTTAGAGTTGCTGAATCAAATGGATGGATTCGACCGCAACGATAATGTCAAGGTGTGTAGTTCTGTAGTACACTCGCCTACACTGCCATTTCAAGAACGGTTTAACAGTATCGTTTGCCATGAAACTCTTGTATCTGCCCTTCCAATACGTGCTTGCGACTTCGTCAATCGGAACTTCGATATGTTGCTCGCAAGTTTTGCCAACCTTGATTCAATTGTATTCTACGCAGGTCATCATGGCTACAAACAGAGCCGACACGCTTGATCCCGCACTACTTCGACCGGGTCGTTTGGATCGTAAGATTGAGTTCCCCTTGCCCGACCGCCGCCAGAAACGTCTGGTCTTCACCACAATCACTTCTAAAATGAATCTGAGCGACGAGGTGGACCTTGAAGACTGTATGTCCCACGCGTGTATAATTGTGACGTTGCTGCATGTCATAACTTCAGATGTCACTGAATAGCCGCCTGTTTTATGGCTTCGAATTATATGTGACAACATTTCAGTTTATCCCACGTGTGCACCATAAGCTAGACCTCTTGTATTTCCATTGCAATTCTTTGACGAAGTGCTCTTTGACTTTTGTTTATCTATACATCTGGGGCTATAAGGTATCATAGCACCAACCCAATTATCATCTGCATTGAAGGCATTCGCTTCAGCAATAGTCAAACCTTTCGTCTATTTGACGTAGAATTACATACATCTTGTCTTTGGTGACGCTTTGAAACTGACCTCTTGACACATCCATGGCTACACATCCGCTTCTATTGATAAGTGCTTGCTCATCATATTCACTTTCTGTGGCACTTGCAGTCGTTTCTCGCCCTGATAAGATCAGCGCAGCCGATATCGCGGCGATTTGTCAAGAGGCCGGAATGCAGGCCGTGAGAAAAAACAGGTAGTTGGCGAAAGAGTGCGCAAATACACGTTCATCTCCGATCTCCGTACATTCTATCTTTTTCTCCAATTACAAAACGTTGACCGAATTGATATATAGATCGTCCTAAGTTTTTTCAGAAAAAGCGTATGATTGCCGCGACCCTTGGATACCACGAGCATACCACTCAGAGGGTGCTAATATCCATATTCTATTTTACTTTCAGATACGTTGTTCTGGCCAAAGACTTCGAGAAGGGTTACAAGTCGAACGTGTCGAAGTCCGAAACCGAGTTTGAATTTTACAAGTAGACAAGTTATAGTATAGACGTATTCTTAAATTCACATCGAAACGCGGGTCGCAAAATATTAAAGATATTGAAATCGGTTGCAAGCGCTTTATTCACACATATGTTTGTGGTCGACGTACGTCGATCCGAAATTCGCAATTGGGCGTTCAGACTACAATATTCAAGTCCTAGAAGTCTGCTAAGGCGGTTCCAAGTGGACGTTTGTTTCAGGCGAATAAAGTCCGGAAAAAAAAGGGGGCGGGGCACTTTTCGCTTTCCTCTTATTCTATAGTAGGGGCTAGACTTGACCACTTTGTTTTAATATATAGGCATACGGATGACGCGCCACTGATATAATATGAATAGCGACACAAACTGCGATATATGTGCTATAAACAACGAATCTTTCCGTATCCACTGAGGCTTTTCCCAGGGTGCACCTATAGTATAATTCTAAAAATGCGGGGCGCGAAGTGAAAAGAGCTCAGCCCACAAGGAGAGAGGGGGGGTCGCAATGGAAGATATAGGTGCCATTAATTTCGGCTGTGCAGCAGTGCGTAATACAAAAATGACAGCGTCGAGCTATGTACTTATTGTTGAGGTGGGAACTTGAGTTCAACTCGTTCAAATGTTCGTCGTCAACTCTGCCTAATTCAGATCGCGATTGGGCTTTCAAAGCTACAAGTTGTCGAATCCAAACATACTAGAAAATCACACACCTGCGAATATTCGTGCGCGCATCAGTACGGTCACGAAGAAGAGTTTTGAAGACGTAAGATCTAATAGTTGACTAGAGGTCTTGAATCATACTAGCCGGATGTTTACACAAAACTGCAACCATCTCTTTGTGCAGCAGTAGTGTCACAAAACAATTCTTCAGAACCATGCACTACGAGTCTGCAGACACACTCAAATTGAGCGTTTAGCCTGTGAGCATATCAATCAATGCCAGAGATATATATATCTGAGATTGTACGTATGCAGCAATACTGATGAGATGATTCAAATTCTAAGCCAACGACTAGCCTCTCATTAAAGTACGTTTACTACATTGTGCTTATATATAGAACAAAAGGCGTTAAACGCAAGAACCGCATATTCGACATCATACACACGACTGTTTCCCTTACGCTACAATAATCGAGACAATGCGTCCACACATCAGCTACTGCTTTGGTTGTAAAATCGACAGATTGCCCGATTAATGTGGGTATGTAGCGTTCGTCGCAAGAACCTAAAATTCAACAAATACAAACCGCGTTTCCCTTACGCTACAATAATTGAAACGCTTCGGACACACACCAGGTACCACTTCAGTTGTAAATTCGATAAACTTCTATATTAAAGTATGATAGCGTCCTTCGCAAGAACCGTAAATTGGACAACAAACAAGACAGTTTCCCGTACACTACAATATTTGTAGACACTTGGACACACCCCCGCTACAGTGTAGTTGAAATTTGATAAAACTTCTAGCTTGAAGTGGGATAGCATTCATCGCAAGAACCGTCAATTCGACAACAAACAAGACAGTTTCCCTTGCACTACAATATTTGAGACACTTGGACACACCCCCGCTACAATGTAGTTGCAAAGTTGATAAAACTTCTAGATTGAAGTGGGATAGCATTCCTCGCAAGAACCGTAAATTCGACAACATACACACGACGGTTTCTCGTACTGTACTATATTTGAGACGATTCAGACACACACTAGCTACTACTTAAGATTGTAAAGTCAATGAAACTTCTAGATTAGAGTAGGGTAGCGTTCAAAGCATCACCTGAAGATTCGACAACATTACACAAGACGAATTTTCCTTGCCCTGCAATAATTGAGGCACTTCGTACACACCAGCACACTTTGGTTGTAGTGCCGATATGAAGTTAGTTTTAAGTAGGATAGCATTAATCGTAAGGACCGTATATCCGACAACAAATACACGAAGGACTTCTATTCACTACGATATTTGATACTCTTAGGGACACGCACCAGCTACTTCTTATGCAAAACATGCGACGCGCGAAATACAAACTCTCTGACGTGCGTGCTTCAAAGTACGCAGTCGCGGAATGTATATGCGTAAAGTTCTACATCAGCTACAGCCACTGCACTATATTCAAGGGTAAACACAGCACTCAAAGGGATTGAGTAAGAACATGACTCACACGGACCAAAAGTTATTGACAGATCCTTGAAGGTAAGTATTTTGATTTTGCTTCGCAATCTCAAGTGCATTCAATACAAAACAAAGTATACATCGTTAGAGTCTTGCACATTTATTCGCACATTCAGACAATACCAATCTAATATTTATAACAGCTGTTCAACTCGCAAGTAGAACCGACAGATCACCATCCACGCTGGGCGAATTTCTGGTCCTCGGGTAGAGTATCACAGTTAATTCCTACCATGGGCTCACCCAAGTTTTCACTGATCTCAGCTAGAATCTTGGGGTTGTTAAAGTTTGTGACAGCCATGACGATAGCGTTTGCTCGCTTCTCAGGATCACCACTCTTGAAGATACCCTAATGAGATTAAAGGTAGCCAGATAAGGAAAGAATCAATATTCGGAAACGAACACAACTATATAGATCACGCAGGGCATTATCACGGCAGTCCGGAAAATCAACACGCACTACGCCGCTAAATAGTGCGCAAGCGAGTCATTTGCCGTGCACGACCAGCCGAGATACCCATTAATTGCTAATTCTAAAATAGATCCTAAACAAGTACATATAGATATTTAGAATACCTATCCTCGAAAGAAAGACTCGATTTCATACACACAGACATAAGAATCAGCACCCACATACCGATCCAACGAAAACTCCATCACATCCGAGCTGCATCATCAGAGCTGCATCGGCGGGAGTGGCGATACCGCCAGCGGCGAAGTTGACAACGGGCAGACGACCGAGCTTGGCTGTTTGCTGAACAAGGTTAAGAGGAGCGCGGATCTCCTTGGCGAATGCGTATAACTCATCCTCATCCATACCCTTCATTTGACGAATTTGTGAGTTCATCTTGCGAGAGTGACGCACAGCCTCGACTACATTGCCAGTTCCTGCCTCTCCCTGTAAAACCACAAGAGAAGATTGAACAAATAGAGTAAAAAGAGTTTCGAACACGTTCCGTGCAATGCTCAAAACGTGGCATAGCGACGAGTTTGTGATCGCCTCGATACACCACAAGCACAGTATGTTGTACCCTATGACCGAAAAAATATCGTCTGGAGCTCAAAACCAACATAGGTCCCGGATTGACAGAATTCGACAACACATTAACATCCTTGACTCTGATAAAGTTGGGCAGAATAAAACAGCCATTCTGCTATGTGATAATGTCATATTTTCCGTTCCACCACCACAACAGACAAAAGCAAAACTTGCTTACATAAATACCTTGGTACGAATCATGCAGGCGCCTTCGGCAATACGTCGCAGAGCTTCACCAATGTCTTTTGCGCCGCAAACATAGGGCACCTTAAACTTGCTCTTGTTGATGTGGTGCTGTTCATCAGCGGGAGTGAGCACTTCACTTTCATCAATGTAGTCAACCTCCAGATGCTCCAGGATCTGTGCCTCCACGAAGTGACCAATACGGACCTTAGCCATAACAGGGATGGTGACAGCAGCCTTAATTTCTTTAATTAGCTGAGGGTCGGACATGCGGGCAATACCTCCATCCTTGCGGATATCAGCAGGCACACGCTCGAGGGCCATGACAGCGCATGCACCGGCTTCCTCAGCAATGCGCGCTTGTTCGGCATTGACTACGTCCATGATGACGCCGCCCTTGAACATCTCTGCGAGTCCGAGCTTGACGCCCTGTGTACTAGATTCTGCAGATGTCATTGTATATTCTGTATATGCTTCGATGTATAAAAGTGACTGGTGAACGTAAGCTTTCCATACTTTTACGAAGCCTCTATGCAAAATTTGAAATTTCGCTTGCACCATACATCCGCTACTTGGTACAAAAAAATATACGTGCCAAGGCCCAAGAGTCCCAATATCATTTTAACCCAAATTTCCCTCGTGGAGTTGACACCACACGGACACCATATTTATTATTTCTCTTTCATCATGTAGTCATTGGTATTGAAGCTGACGCGCCTGACTCCGCTCCTGAGGGCTGCGGACCTGGAGCAGATTTCAGTCCGTAAAACGTAAATACGCTTGCATAGTAATGCGTTAACCGTTGATTTCGTTGCCAGGGCATGTAATATACTCCCAACTGAAAAGAGGAGTACGCTTTAAAATGACTGCGTTAGCGTATACGTAGTACGTTTTCAGCTAAAAGCCCGTATTGATGATGTCTGGAGGCTGGAGTTCTAAATTCACCTGACGCCCGGGTTGACGCCTGACGGTCAATGACCGACTTTTCACTAATCACTATACGCCGTCGCCTGACAGAGAGAGTTTGCATTTGACAACAACGATTTTTTGACTCGCTACGACACCTCTCATCAATGAAATCAAAGGAAAATTTAAACGTCGCTTCTTTTGCGAAAAACTAGTCATCAATTCTGTGTGAAAAGTTAAAAATATGACATGCTCCGTAGTGTCTATTCATGGGCCCTGCCCACTGCCCGCTGGTGGTGGCTAGCGGCCAGTGCATAGCCTATTTAAACCTATTTACTATTTTTTTTCCTATTGTTTAAAAAATAAAAATAAAACAGCCAGTGTGTAGACTGTATTTATTTATTTATGTAGACTAAAATATTGTTATTGGTTTTTTCATAGCCCCCTGAAAAATAAGCATTTTTTTCTATATATATAAAAAAACATTATTTAGAAGAAAAATTACCACCATTTGCTGACCTCAGACTTCAGAGGCGACTCAGAGGCTCAGGCCTCAGTGACCAGTGCAGAGTCATTTTCCAGTCTGACCCTCTGCTCTGTGGGCCGCTTATGGCCTGATTGGCCTCTGGCCCTCTGGCTGGCTGGGCCTGGCTGTCTGGCTGACTCACACGACGTCTCATGTTCGACGCGGTGCAAACTGGGCTAATGACAAACTAGCCTCCTAAATTGTACAAAATTTTGCATAGTCTCCATTGCTCCAAATTTTAAAAATTTGCATATGTACATAGCCTGAAAATGGAAAAGGGCTGGCCTTATTTTCAAGGCTTTAGGGCAGGAACGTTGAAATAATTTCGTAAACGTGAAAACGTAGTACGTTTATGCTATGAGCACACGTATATGGATTTTGGCTCAATTTAGCATTTTGAATTTACCAGTTTCATACCATATTTTGACTAAAATCTGGACTAGTCTAGGACTAGCACTCTCTTCGGAGTCTCTAGTCACTACATAGTAGGGATAATATC